TAAAAAACGAAACGAAACGAAAGTTGGGTCTAAATTTAATTAGACTCTCAACTTTCACAATTCAGATAAGATTATCTCATTGTAGCATTTATGAGTATAACACTTTCTTGTTTAGTTTAATTTTATAAAAGAAGAAGTGATTTAGAGATAAAGCCATTTTGTAATCTGATCAACGACCATTTTCATGTATCATAGTATTAAACTATCAACTGCTTATTTTTCTTTACTATGAATGTAGCCTTTACATCTTGTGGTTATGTACAATCATTATGTTAGCATGTACTTATGTATATGTATTTTTCTGTATATATATATATATATTGTTAAACTGTGCGAGTTTGTACATCTCTCGTGGTTATGTACTTGATTACAGCAAAGTAGTCTGTACATTTAATACACATGTACTTATGTATATGTATTTTTCTGTATATATATATATATATTGTTAAACTGTGCGAGTCTGTACATTTCATACACATGTACTTATGTATTTGTATTTTTCGGTATATAAGATCATGTTCTTTTGGAGTGGTGGGGTGCTAGAAAATAAAATAATAGAAAAAAATTCAAGAAACATTTTTTTTACTTTGCTCAGACAATAGGTCCAAAGAAGCATTTCATTTCAATGGACATTGAAGACCTTCTTAGAGCAACATCACACATTTTCAACCTGTCATTTCTCTATGAGATGATGGAAAAAATTCAAGAGAGACATGACAGTAGTCTGAAAATAGCAGCGTATTTACTTCATAGATGATTTATGACCTGATCTTTAACAGACCAATATTTCAAACTCATTAAGGGTTAGGCTTCTTTTGGCTTCTTCTAACGTGGACCTTAATTACTTTTGAAGGTATTTACTGGGCTGGTTTCAGATAATTTAACAAGAATTACACACTTACTTGACTTCACTGAAACGAGTTGTAAACACATGGTTTGTTGGGCATTTCCCTTTTGAACCACTTTCTGTGAATTCTGTACCGTTGATGGGAAAGGTTACCATAAAAAGGCTTGCTTGAAATTTTAATTATTTGGACTGACAGAAATAAAGATGACTAATTAATTAACAATACCAACAAACAGGTAAAATTCAAGAGAAAGTAACTATTTGTTTTGGCGAGTATATCAGGAATGGTAAATCTGCATGTGTTGTTGATATCAGACCACAATATTTAATAAGGTGAGGGTACGTCTCCCCATGAGACTTCAGAGGTTCCCTTCAGCAGAAGACTGGGTGGTCGGATCAGCGTTAGTGGTCCGAGGGTCAATATGGTTCAGGGGCCCTACGTCTTATATTACAAAATTGTTTTTGAACGAATATATTTTGGGGTAAGCAAAATACGTCTCCCCATGAGACTTCAGAAGTTCCCTTCAGAGCAAGACAGGGTGGTCGGATCAGCGTTAGTGGTCCGAGGGTCAATATGGTTCAGGGGCCCTACGTCTTATATTACAAAATTGTTTTTAAACGAATATATTTTGAGGTAAGCAAAATACGTCTCCCCATGAGACTTCAGAGGAAGACTGGGTGGTCGGATCAGTGTAAGTGGTCCGAGGGTCAATATGGGTCAGAGGCCCCACGTCTTATATTACAAAATTGTTTTTTAGTGAATATATTTTCGATTATTTAAAAAAATAGCTTCAACCCAAAGAGCAAATTGATTATGGGCCTAAGTAGGTTGAGGAAGGTTTTGGTAGTGAAGATTTTGGCAGGTGCCTAAGAAATCCCAAAGCGGTTCAGTCCATTGAAGTTTCTTATTTACAATTTAAAATTCATTTGAGGCCAAAAGACATAGACATTTCCTTCTTTGCGTTTAGTAAAAGGATATTCGCTTTTTTCCAGCTGATATAGATCAATTTCAGTAATTTGTAACATAATTCAGTGCGGTTCATTCTATACACAATTCAACGACAAGTATTTGCTCAGATATCTCAATATTTGGTGTCCATATTTTGTGCAAGAGTGATGCTTTTTTACATTAACCGTTACAGATATCATTATCGTGATGTTTTCAACCGATTATTATTGATGGGTTGATTTGTGTTGAAAATCCTTTTTTTTCGCATTTAAAGTATTATCCCCTATTTCAAAACAATTTTACATCAATAGAAAATCTTACAAAAGAAGATCAGTTTACCCAAATGAATGCGCGCTAATGCATACGATCAATTAAAAAAAGTGTTATTTTCGATCTTAGCAGTTAAAATCGACACGTATTATTGCTTGCTTGACGTCTGGTTATTTAAACTGTCAACAATTTACAAATTTGCTGATGTATTTAGCGCATCTCTTGGGAAGCATTGTGTGGAATCTCCTTTATCACAGATCGCATTAGACTTTACACTATGTGTATAGCTACACAGGTTTGGGAATATGGATAATTACAAATATAACAGCCTGTACTGTCAACTCTTTGGATGCAGACCGCATTTAAAGTTAACCGAGAACGTATTCTGGTTATCAATGTTCTTGAAGATCTTTGAGAATGTTGACAATAGACCTGTAATATAAAGGTTTCTCCAGAGTCAAAATATCAGCTATACTGGCTTGAGGTCTTTTTGAAAGCAAGGGTCTTGGTGAAAGAGGACATGTCCAATACCACTATTACTCTCATTCTACATAAACCTATACCTACTTAGAGAGAGACTCATACAGAAACTAACAAGATAGAGACCACAGATTTCAGCAAATAGAGGCTCTAGAGAGTAGAGACCATGGATTTCAGCATACAGAAGCATTAGCAAGGTACAGACACTGGATTTCAGCATAAGAACTAGCAAGGGACAGACAGAAGATTTCAGCATACAGAAGCACTAGCAAGGAACAGATCATGGATTTCAGCACACAGAAAAACTAGCAAGGTAGAGCCATATTTCAGCATAAGATCTAGCAAGGAACAGACCAAAAACTGCAGAAAAACTAACACTAACACGACAGAAGATTTCAGCAAACAGAAGAACTACCATGGATTTCAAAAATCACATGGGAAAGGTAGAGACTATGAATTTCAGCATGCAGAACAACTGACAGATTGTTGAAAGATGATCCAATCTCGGACGTAAACCTGGCTCCGCCACTGATATTCCTTGAGTACACGAAGGTCAATGATGCCATAAACAAGTTACTATTCGATCATACCCACTTATTATGTATTTATTGGTAACGTTGTTATGAGTAAAGTTAATTATTTGTATTACTAATATTGTAATGCTGTGAGGTATTATTATGCTTCAAATGAACTTTAATCTCTGTATTTCCAATCCATCGGTCAATCACTGATGTTGTAATTGTAGTACAACTAGATTGTGATTACCACTAAGGTCGTTGTCTTCAGGAAATACAGAGTTTGTATAATATCTTATAAAGCGCTATTCAAAACCTACCATTTCTCGTCATTTCTATATGAGAGTTGTCGTGTTCTCCTCTTTACATTTTGAAATTCTTATCTGTCTATAAACTGAGTTAAGACTGAAATTTTTGGCGTTGAATAAGGTATTGGGAACGGACGTTTTCGTGTTTCAGATTAAAGAAGATGTTGGCGTCTATACCAACATTTGGACAGAAAACCCGGCGGTCGTTTCACTAGAATTTGAAGTGACGCAAGTCTTAACTTACATGGAAGATTTATTTTATTGTCATACAGTTATTACATTTCGGGGAATAATACTTAAAAATCATCTTCTTTTGGAAGATTTGACGCTACTTTAGGCATAAACTTCTGTTTTGATGGTAGTCTGAATGTACGCGATTTACTTGTTTATTTGTAAGTGAGCCACTTCTTCACATGTCAAGGGAAGTAACTAGCTCAAGAATAAAATAAATGAAACAGCTTGGATTCTAAATAACAAAAAGTGGTTTTATCTTGTTACGCAACAAAGGGAACAAAAAGTTGCAAATGTTTCGTTCCTCTAACGTGGTGATGATACTGACTAAAGAGTTGACGAACATAGGAGACACATTTAAATGGGTAGGTAATGAACCAAGGTGGTTTCTCTGGATGTACGTCCACGTGGAAACAATACCACCCACGTTTTCATGGAAACATTACCACTAACGTTCACGTGAAAACATTCCCAACACTACCACTAACGTTCACGTGAAAACATTACCACCAACGTTCACGTGAAAACATTGCCAACACTACCACTAATGTCCACGTGTAAACATTACCATTAAAGTCTACCTGGACAAATAACCACTAAAGTTCGAGCGGAATCATTACCATTAACATCCACCTTTAAACATTACCATTAATATTCTCGTGGACAAAGTACCATTAACGTCTACATGGAAACATTACCATTAGCAACAGTAAATGACACCATAGTCGTGATTTTCTTGTCTTTTTGTTGGAGAGGAAACCATTCAATAACAGACCGACAAATCTCGTTTCTAATCATTTAATAGATAATTTTAATGTTCGTTAAGGTATCTTGAGACCTCAAGGGTTGCTGAACCGAAACCGACTCGTAAGTCTTCAGATAGCCATAAGATCATTAGTTATCAAAAGTACGTTTCAGTGCATTTGGTTCATTTTTTTTTGTTATCCTTTGCACGTAAATTAATGAATATAGTTAATTTGTGATGTCTTGAACATAATGGTAATCAATTTATCAAAGATCGATCCACTTATCGTGGCCGTGTTTCGAGAAATTAGTTTAGTTAATAGTCACCGTAAATTTTCATTCGCATATAAATTAGGCACATAATGTCCAATTTGGCCACCAATAACTGCAACCTAAGTGTTCTTTCTGCTAAAAAGTAATCACGTAACTCAGTAGGTTTTTTTTTCATTTGTATAATGAATTAAAATTTTGATGTATCCATTGCAGAATCAATTTCTTTGTTACCTTTTAAAGAGGTCATCATAGAGATCACCAAATAAACAAAGGCATTGGATCTCAAAAACAAAAAATGGGAGCAAAGTATATACAAAAACTACAAACTTGTAGAGATTGCCTTTGGCAAGAAGATATTTACAGACATTAATAAGGAAAAAATGTCAAGGAACACCATGAGCTCCATCGTCCGAAAATTTGATCCCAAACGCCGAAATAAACACATTGACTACAGTTATGAATAAAATGAGACCAGTTACTCCATTATTCATGGCATTTCTTTTAGACATGTCTTCTTCAGTTTTGGCTTCTCGAGATCCAAGCAGTAATAACAATACTCCGACTGTAACCTGAAATGGAAAGATAGCTGATCACGTCCAAAAACGACAACTTCGGCATATTGTTAGTGAAAGTAGAACTCTCTTGCTTGATTGTCATTTTTGGTGAAATATCTCTATACGGAGCTCAGTTGAAGATGATTTGATTATTTTCATTATCAAATTTCACTCAAGGTGCCCTCACACCAAAGCGATTACCAGTTGCTAATGGTTGAAAGTAATGAAAGTGGTCAGCTCATAACTCAGTTGATAGCTACGGTGCGAGAACCACTTCAGACATATGATACTCACTTGCATAAACACCGACAGTGCGATTAAAACCAGCATGGGTATAAACAACATGTCACGATTTTCTGGTCTAACATCTAACAAAGCTTTTAGTTGAGATGCATTGGCCATCAATAAGGCGAAATCCAGCAAACCTTGGGCAATCGTCTTTCTAACAGCATATGTTCGAAACGTGACCTAAAATACATAGTTGTAAAAAGTGAGATAGCTTCACCATCACTACCACAAACCTTTCAACGGCGGCTACCCCCTGATATTAAATGGCACAATCTGGCCAATCACTGAATTTAAAAATTTGAAATTGGGAGACAGTTGCTTGGGTTATACTGCTTTTGATAGAAAACTGAATCTGGAAGTAGACCACAGCGTTCTTGACCTGCAAACTTCTTATCGATCATAGTTGATGAAAGTCGGCCAATTTCTCGATAATGCGTTTCGAAGTTGACTGCGACGGATCTGATGCGATTCAAATCGACCTATTATTCAGATCAATGTTTTGATGTTTATTTGACACTAACTCATTGAAATAAATACATTTCCAAACGTTTGAAATGTTATGTGAGAATCTGTAAAAGTATTGGAATGGTGTTAGATTTGGCCTTGTGCTGAATTTGAATAATCGATCTGGAGTGTTGTAATGTAAATGTGTCGATGGTGTGTGCGGATATGCAACTCTGTTGTTATTTCATGGTTTAATCGTGTTTTTCATGAGCAGAATGCGAGGTAAAACCGGGTTATGTCCACATTCTTTGCCGATTAGCGGAGATTGGTTTGTAACTGTTGAAATACAGAGTGTTTAAAATACACATGTAAACAAACGACAAATGTTTAATCTGACCACAAAACATTCTATCAATACATGTGTTGATTTCTACACACGATGTTTTGGTTTACTTTTTTTTAATACTACAGAGTAGGCTAGCACTAAATCGGTACCATGGCCCGTATAACTTCCATCGAAAGTTCGTTTTTGTGCAATAAAATTACCAATGGTACAATTGGTTTCCCCATTCACAAGTTACTGTTTGACGGACCTTGTTCCAGCATTTCCAAAGTATGTTTTTCGACGTGTTTCCCATTCATAAATATCATTGATCGTTTGCTTTGGTCAAAAGTTTTGAAGTGTCAAAATGCTAGAAGAAACTGTCATGATTTCTCATTTCGTCATTGAAGGGAAACCATATAAAATCATGTTAATCTTTGGGAATTCCATTCGAAGAGATCACATATTCAAAATCATATTTGTTAAAAATCTCTTAAACAAAAATGTACGGATCAAAAGTTAAAAACTAACTAAGTCAGCAGATCAATACAGTGCGCTAGTTCTTATTTTTTGACAATAAGTTTGGACAAAACCGGAACAAATATTAAAACACGAGAGCAATGATTGACATTCTGTGCTAGATGGTAACTAACATAACTAGTCTGATAGGGGTAAAAACACATTTGAATTGATTTTTGAAAACACAAACTATCCAGTTTCCAAGATTTCAAGAATGATTTCTAAAATCGCATTTTTTCCGTATTTTGTTGGATGTGAGTGTTTTCGATACGAGTGTCAATCGCCATCAGTCAATCTGAGCCCACATTAAGAACTACTGTGATGATCGATCGACTTAATGCTTTACTCAATTATTTTCAACTCTCGATATATTTGATACCATACTGTCCTAAATTAGCCACCGTAAAATACAGACATTAAATAATGTAAATATATTCAATGAAGTAACAGTAATATTGATACGACTTATGATAACTGTCATTACTGTAAATGTCAAAGATATTTATCCAGTACTGATTACAGTGTAATTTAATGTTCATGGAATTCGCTTACTTAGTCATTTATGTAACATTTAAATTTCTAATCCAAATTTCCAAATGAATCTATGTAACCAAAACTTATCTACCATTGCGTGTGACACATTCCACAGTTGTTGGAAATCGGATGAAACAATGTTAAAAAAAAATGTTTCCCATCACTTTAAAGCATTTGTTCGTGCATAACATAAATAAGAATTGTTATTCAATTATTCCTATGGTATGTATTTGGATACATTTATTTCTTAAAAATATTTTGTACACGTCAATAGCAAATACTTTATCAAAACACAAAACAGCCAATAGAAAAAGTACGGTCTGAAGCGAAGTGGTTATTTTTTTTAAATTTGACTATGAAAGTTATTATGACACTAGCATCAATAGAACAATAGAAAAACAAAGCTTACCGTTTCTATCGAAGCTGGGGCCCTTTGTATGGGCATTTCGCTATCCTTTGGTTCAACTGTGGTCGAGCTCATTGTATCAAAATTTGTACTACTTCTATTACTTCAATATTAGCTTTTATCAACGTTTGTAAACCTATCTCAAATATTGTTCCTTGATCATTTCACGTTACCAGAACTATAGTCCATAACAACTTGGTCGGCCACAACTCTCACTTCTAACGTCCAGAGAACAACTGAAAATTGCAACACATTTGAAAATTAAACACAGACTCGTTCGACGATCAGATTTATTTGAGGAAGGAGTTGTTATGCATCCTTGAGATGGTTCATACGACAACAAGACGAATGTCAAGTTCAGGTTAAATTGCCAGGTCATCACAATACCGAGAGAGAATTTAAAAGGATAAATACATGTGTATGGTCGTCTTCACCTCGAAGAATTGATTTCTATTATTTGCTAATCAGCCTTGAAAGGTGTAAATTGACTTTCATGAATTTAACAAACATATCTTAAAGGAATTCGACTCCAGCATTTCATTGCATTAAGTGTGAGGAGTGAATTTTTAGAAAATTCTTTTCCGTGGGAGTCTGCATACCTTTTCTTTCTCATAAAACGTCTCGTATATCTCAGACACAAGTATTTTGGTCTTTGCAAAAGGTAAAGCCAATGTGAAAATGATTAATTTTTGTCTTATTCGAAACCTTGATGTTGGTGATTCTAGAACGATTTACGAGTGCTTAGTGCGAATGTTCACGATTGTCGCCAATATGACAAGATATTACGTGATAGTATATAAACGTTATTTCTGTTGTACCAGAAGACTGTCCTCAAATATGAACATAATAAACTTATTACTTACCAGTTTATTGGTATGTGCCTTCGAAATTGGTGACAGTAGATGCTTAAGCTGAATGCTTAACTGTCTTTGTCATTCCAGATTAACTATGTCATCACTGACATCACCGACCAAAATAGTTGCTTTATTTATATACGTAAACAAAGGTTTATGGCGTGTTCGATATCTAGCAACTATCTTATTCCCCATTTGACTAAATTTATGGTTTTTTATCTTTGACAGGTTTGGTCCGTATTTATTACATGTACGTTTCCCTTATCGCAACACTTTTTTTTCATTTTTCACTTGATATTTGTTGATAAAACACGATCCGTTTTGTAGAAAACACAAAACTCTTTGCTAACAGAACGCAGGATTGATTTCGGTATCTTTCACCAAGAAATCTATTGGGCAAAAAGGTTCTTTCTTTGTTTTTGTTATTTTGTCATAGTTTGTTAGAATTGAACGATGATATTAAACAGTGATATTATGTTAAACAATTTTTTATTGAAAAACAAAATAAACAATATTAAATTAAATAAATTTCATGAAAGAGCGGTAGACATAAAACAATTTTCAATCGTTTGGAACTGAACTCGAGCCTTTTAAGCTTAGCAGATGAAAGTTCGCTTGCAAGAACGGTCAGTAAGAACGGTCAGTAAGAACGGTCAGTAAGGACGGTCAGCAAGAACGGTCAGTAAGAACGGTCAGTAAGAACTATATGTTCATACTTCAATTATTACGGTTACTGACGTAGCAGCACGACTCCAAATGGAAAGTTCGGACGTGCTTGGATGAGAGAGCACCATGTCTACCTCTCTGCGGGTGAACTAGTTTTCCTTGTGCAGGTATGGACGTGGCTTAATGAAAGACCGAAGTGGCACAAAACATGATTTTTCATATGACTTCTTGAAAGACATAAATAAGTTTTGTAATTAAAACTAATGGTACATCGGTAGAACAATGAGCAATATAACGCGAAATATCACATAGAACGTACCACAAACCAGATTTTGTCGGTGTCAATATTGAAAGCACTCAAATATAGTGTTGAAATTATGAAGTCATCTTTTGGAGAAAAATTATGAAATTTGTCTTCCCAGACGTGTATATTATGCAGTTCGCAGTCATTGACTGAAGCGACAGTAGTGTTTCTATTAATCAATATTTGAAAGGAACGAGTAGGGTCCACAAATTTGTCAATGGGTGCAAACAGTACCAAATTCGGAGGGGCAAGTAATATATCTAGAGGGGAAATGGTGTATGATGTTTAGAAGCAGTATTGGAATGAGCAGTACCAGGTATTTAAGAACTCGATGATAGAAACCCCACGCTGAAGCGAAGGTCATTAATAATATTCTGGAAAAGCCGAATGATATCATCAGGATCAGAAAAGAGATCGGCACCCAAAAGCAGTCACTGAGCAAAAAAGCATATCACTTATAAGTGTGAGGTTATCTTTTCCAACACAAAATACTGCTGCGTTTCAACTGTCCGTGGACTGAGCGATTCATAGTAATTATAACAGTCTGGAATAGTCACTAGTGTTGGAGGATTAGGAACCTGTTTTCCAAATGTATCCGTGGTGAAACCATGAGATGACGTCTCATATTCGTGTAAAATATCATTTAACTGACCAGTGACTTCAGTGAAGTCTGGTCTAGCCTCTATATCTTTATTCCAACAGGCTAGCATTAAGGAATATCTGAAGAGATGAAACGAAAAAAGAAATTTTGATGATATCAATCCGAACGAAAGATCCATAGATGATGTTTATGCGCCAAATTCATCCGTGTAGTACGAGCTAGCTTCAATATAACGAGCGCCAATTTTCAATCAGACGTCTGTAATTCTAAGAAAACTAAGCGTTTGATTACATCACCATCGCAATATCTGCTTATATTATGAAGTCCGATAGTTTTAATGGAATTGCAGGAACCACAGACCTCTGATTAAAAATTGGTATGGTACAAATTGATGATATCAGTGTCTCCGATACAAATAAAATGTTAAAAAAAAAACTCTTTACAATCCCTATAATCCACAAAAGAAAATGATTGTCCGTTTGAATATAAATACTATTAATGTAACGTTACTTACAGCGTGTCGTCGCTAAACCATGGTTTTCGTAGTCTTCTTCCACTCCTCAAGTATGCAATAACATCCCAACCTTCCACTCCGGGATACGGAGTTACTCCCCTTGTTAATAACTCCCAAATTACCACAGCGAGCGACCACTAAAATTTAAATTTATCAACTTCAGGCATATTTTATCTTCTGCCATTACAAAAACTGGTAACGTAGAAAAATCGAGTTGAACCATGCCCCGCCCCTTGAAAAGAGCTTTACCCCCGCTCCTTTTCAATTTTTGTCCCATCAATGTACATAGTGAAAGAAATTCAGGTGAGAAAGCTGGAAAATTCGGTTACTCGTATCCCCCCTTTCAACTAATATATCGCCACTGATGGGTGCATAAAATTATCATTTCAAAATTAGTTTATAAACAGCAATTTTTAGCGATTGTCAAGACGCAATCACTACCTAATCGAATATCAATATATTAATATATGGTAATAAACTTATTATACAGCGTAATTCAGATTTTACAGATATCACTTAACTTTCAGAGAAAACTGTACAATACCCAGTATAATTTTAACAAGAAACGCATGCTCTTAGTTCAATAAACCGAAACTGTGCATTTTGAACAGTTTAAAATGAAAAAAAAAACGATTCATATCATTGTCTCTTCAAATCGTAGACGTAAAAGTTGAACACTTACGACATCGGACTTGGAGCTGTACGTCCCTCTTTCTATACTCTCAATAGCCATCCAACGTATTGGTAATTTGGTCTTTTTATTCTCACTATGATAATAACCTTTTTCATAGATATCTCTTGTTAAACCAAAATCGGCCACTTTCACATGGAAATGATCATCTAACCTAAAAAATATTTAAAAAACTAATGAAGTCTTTGGGGCCTTGGTTGGTGGTCGTGGTTCTCGAGGGTAGGGACATCAGGAAGTATTCAATTCTGGAACATCAGAATTTAAATATCCCTGTCTAGAATAAAAGAAAATATAATATAAATTGACTTAAAAATATCAATATTGCGATGATGTAGGTCGACCCTCAGAATATTATCATATTTTGAAAAAAGGTTTACGAAGCGAATACTTACATACAGTTTCTAGCCGCTAGATCTCTATGTACAAATTTTAAACTTCCCAAATATTCCATACCGCGACTTATATCAATAGCAAACATTATCATCTGATTTAAAGATATTTCCTGAAATTATGACATCAAAACCAGATTTCAGAACTTCATTTGGATACAACTTTTTTTTTTAAATGTCTGATTTTCAATTTTTTCCACAGCTAGTACTGACCTTACATAAGATATATCTTTTGTTTTTATTCTGTTCGACCGAGCTGTAAATGGGTAAGGATTATCTTGGAAAGTCCAATGGTCAAAGCCAGAGGGACCAGATCGTAAGAGGCCTAAGAATTTCTGAATCTTGCCTTCTTTAACTAAGCATTAACTTTGTATCGTCATATAACTTATTTCATCCAGACTCCCTTTGTCTATGCACAGCTTCGACAGCCTCGTCGTAGACAGGAGAAGTCGTGGCGACAGAGACTAATTATGATTATGAAATTTCATACTTTTTCCTCGTCCGAAACATATTTCAGCAAGTCTCCATTGCCCATAAATGGTAATATGACCAAGGGCGAACTATCCTTGGATAATGTTATGCCTATTAGCTTCAAAACATTGGGATGCTCAAAATCTTTCATCAGCAAAGCTTCTTCTACGAATTCTTTCAGATTAATTTCTCCAGCATCGGTATCTAGAAAACAGAATCATTACATGTGAATAAAAGTTCACATGGTGTAAATTTGGATAGGATGTCGAGCTGGTCATGCATTATCGATACGATCTTAGTCTTCTACACCTAATTGCGCAAATGAAGACGGTCTGTTGAAATCAAGACAACATGCTCTCATGTTAAATATAAGGCCGTGGTTCGCCATTTTCGGGGGCTACTGATTAGCTTATCTTAAAAGTTTCTGAGAGTAAAGGACGATTGGTCAAACGGGTGGTGAACTTGTCTTAACTGTTTTGGTGTCCCTTTTTGTTATTTGTATACCATACGCTTTCTCACCTTGTAGCGTTTTTACAGCTACTTTCAGTTCTATGTCATCTTCCTCCAGCAAAGTCCCTTCACAAACACAACCAAAGTTGCCTGAAAATATAAACCATTAATTTTGATTAGCGAAAAGATAACCACTTTTAAGAGAATTTTGATTAGTTAGTATATGGATTCTATTGAACATGCTTAAAGAAAATTTCGTCAGATCGTGGATGGCACGTGTCTTAATCTGCTGAAAAACATGACAAAAAATATTCAGACCTTGATTTTTTATCTTATTTTTTGACAACGATTGTTGAGCAGACTTGCAGACACTGTCAAGAAATCTAGGTCCCATGGGCAGGGTAACCGTTTTCACTCTCTTGGCAAGAGATATGTCACCGCGGCTTCCATTTTTTCTACGCCTACGTGGCCAATTTATGTATCATTCTCTTATTCTGAATAAAATTGCCTCTACCTGCACCAATAACTTCTCCAATAATAAGTTTTTCTCTATTTATGAACAAATTTGCCTTTTCAATATTCATAATTGTTGATGCATCCATCAGACGTTTAACTTGTTGCACTCCGCTAATAATCAAATGGCTGTCTGCAGCACCTAAATAAGCAAAAAGTAATACTTGTTAAGCAAAAACACCAAAAGAAAGGAATATTATTCAAATGACCATTATCTGGTATTTCAATATATTAAACCGAACATTTATATATTTATTTCTCTCGAAAACCAAACATTAAAAGAATTGTAAAAACGTTTAAATTTTTGTGTATCGTGGACACTGTTAGTATCGATTTGCACCATGACCATTTCAATCAGACGTCTGTGGTGTTTGCAATTCCACTAAAACTCATCGTTTTACAACGTCAAGTTATATACTATAGATATCGCAATTTAGACGAAATTGACGTCAACAACCACTTAATTTTAGTGAAACTACAAGACCCGAGGACGTCTGACTTAAGATTGGAAAGGGGATGATTTTTAGAAAACCTCTTTAAAATCATTTTTAATACTAGGAAGGTAGACATCTATTAATCATTGCATATTCTGGGTCATATGTTTTCAGACATATTTCATATCTAGAATTTTACACATTATGTACTTACTTTCAGACATTTCAATAAACATATGTCGCATCTTGTCGTCCTTTTTCTGTCTACAGACACACCATATCAAGCAAGCTATCAGAATGATACAGACAACCACAGACGTGGCTACTCCAACTACTATAGCATATTGTGTTATTTTTTTAGGTATGTCTGGTACTTCCGGTGATATTTTGCCTTTCGGATTTACAAATATATTACCAACTTTATAATAACGATTACCCACTTTCACCTAATAAAATAATAGTGAAAATAATGGTTATATGACAATTTTTGATGTGGCTCTCGGGGATAGCATATACTATAGGCGGACATCGTCCCCATTCATTTGTAAATCAACAATGGTGCTTGCTATGCGAGGTATTATCACAAAATCATCTTGGCTAGTTGAAAATACTAACGAGAAGACAAAATAAAATACACATAGTCAAGAACAAAAATAGAAAGAATGGGATTTAAACAAACAGATATAAGGCGCTGATGCGGATCTAAATCATCATTCTCTGTCCCTGGTTCCCAACCTTGGTGTAGGACTGGTGTCGGGGGTGTGGACAACTGTTGAAGGAGAAGTTTATTATATTATTATATTATATGGTTCCAAAGAGAACCGTAACAGCCTCCCACTGAGCATCATATTGCGGCCGTATGATTATATATCCATTATTATGTGTGATTATTATGATTATTATGATTTACAATGTTTTGAATGGCAATTGTTTTGGGGGTGTGAAGGCTGAAAAAGGTTGGGAACCGCTGCTTTATGTAATCACCAGTAGATCAACTACCATAGGAACTGGTTGAGTCCACGGGCCCCCACCTCCAGAAAAATAAAATACATAAATGAGTGAAAGCATTTTCAAACCAAAAATCTTTTAATCTTTCATTTACAGGCATTAAATTGACTTATCTAGAGGTCTCAGAATGCAAGAGAACATCTATAATAAAACAGATTTACAGATAGCTGATCCACTGGTAAACTCTTTGTAAAGACGTAACTGTATATAAACGCAAACCAAACCATCTGTGGTGCCGATCCACCACAGTCTATAACACGTGGACTTACCTGGACCACAAATTGAGTCTCATTGACCGCTGAAGTAAGATTTGGTCTACATGATACTGCTTCCTCGCCCAATTTGATAACAGGACATGTGATGTTTGTACCGGCACTGCTAGTGATAGTAACTTGAATTTCCTTAGTTTCAACTTCAGATTCTTTAATATTGGTACCCTGAAACATATTTATGTCTGAAGTCAGATAAATCCCTTGTTAAATCTTGCTGACCTGATGAGGATTTATGTCAGAAACACACACCAGCAGCAAGAGATGAATATTTGTCAGTTAGATTTGAGCCAGATTCTTGGTATAACCATTGCCACATGTTTAGATTTGTTGACGAAGGAACTACGACCAGCTGGGTTCCTCTGGTCATACCAGCAAATGGGAAATAGGCACCATGCAAATTACCTTCCATTTCAGCTATACAATATATTTTTAGAATTCTTACTGATGTGGAATTAACACCAACTATAATCTGTTTCACCAACAGATCGTTGACTGTAAGGAAACAAATTTTATGTTTAGATGCGATGGATTCATACCTTAATGCTAAGATCATTTTCTAGGCTATCCACCAGTCCGTCCTTTGGAACAGATGAAAATTCTGGATCTGGATTAACTTTAATCTGACTTAAATTAGGATGGGTTTTAGCAAAGTCCTGAAGTTCCTTGACACCATCCATTATAAAGTAAATATCACCGCTGACAGATGTGTCATTAGGAACGACTGATGTCAACCCGGGTGTTTTACAGATCATCGTTGTGGATGTCCTTGCTTTACAATCCTGAAAATTCAAATTAAATTTAGGAAATGACGAATAAGTAAATGAAAAAATAAGAAATAAATAAATGAAGTAAATGAAGAATTGATTAGTAATTAATGAAGAATAAGAATTGGAACATTTCGAGTAAGAAAATAAAGAATTTAAGGATAAAAGAAAAAACCTTTTTTATGAAGCTGATACACTCTTCCTACTGGAAGGTTATACAATGTTTTACCTCTGCCTCTGGTTGAATCTCACTATTGTCTAGAGTAATACCGAGCCTTGGATTAGCTATTACATTCAAATTTGTTCCTTCAACATTGACATCCAAACCACCACTATAAAAATTAAAAGATCCATTTGTAAAAGGATGGATTCAGAATTTGGATCATGATATTGATAGATATGGAAACAACTGCTATGAATGAGTACTGGTGCACAATTACCAATATTCCTGAGGACAGTCTCAAGTGATCCATTATAAATCACAAAACACTGCAAAGATCTGACATAATGTGAAATGTACGGACCAATGCCATGGTCTTTTGTCTCGCTTTGCCATCTCTGGAACCCCTTGAAGGTCAATACGTCGATCCAGAGCGGAACCAAGCAAATGACGTCAGGTAAAGAACCAATGATTGTGCTATAGAACCTCACGAAAACTATCCATTATACCTCTTAATGCTTCTCCGAGGATGTACATTTGTTATCTGTGGGTCTTTCCAATAACAAAATGTTCCAGTGGTCTCAGCTAAGACGGCATTCTCCATCATCAATGCTAATGTACCACATCCGATTGATTCATTAGTGTTTCTGTTCTGTTGATTTTGCTTAAGTGGTTTGGTCGTGCACAGTAAAACTGTATCATTTATACTAGAACAGAGACAACATCTTATTATATACAATAAAGACCAACGGAGTAAACGACCAGGGAACAAAACAAAAAAGAGAGAAAACAGAAAGATAACAACCATAATCATTATAAACTCAAAATTCGGTAAGGTGCCAATACACTAGTTCATATCATGAAATGACTTAGGCTTGTTCACCAGCTGGTCCTTGTTCATTTATCCTCGCCAGATTATCGGTACCCATTTGCAGCTTGGTCGTTTTTTTAAATTTGCTTCGACTTTAAATCCATTTAGTTTCTCTATGTGTTTTTCTTTACAATTAATTTAAAAATCCGTTACCTTCTTATTTGACACTGCAAACTTAAATCTTTGATTTTAATATCAACTCTTTTAGTTAAATCAAGGTTCTTCCCTATTACTGTAATGTTGGTACCACCAGATTCTGGACCAAGTTCTGGATTAAAACTAGTTATACTGGCAGACTGTAATATATCACAATAATAATAAGTAATAATTCTCACGCTCTAACTGACGGACCTCCAGTTTCAAATAACATGATTTTGATATCAGTCGGCAGTGCCTACAGCTGACAACTTTTAGTCGCAGTATTCACGAGTTCCACTTTGTTTCCTGCTATCAAGGGTGTAAAGGAACGTTTCAACCTGGTACCTTATGGGTGCGAATAGTCTGAATGTATGGATTGGAAATAAAACTGAATACCTTAAAATAGAAATAAAGCTTGGAATTATTACCACTATTCACCGAACCTTTCATATGAGGACTGCTCTCTGTATCATTTATATCAACTGTTACAGCACATTTTTCTTCTTTGGACGCACTTTCAGTCTTACAGACTATCCTATAAAATACATGTACATGTAATATGAATAGACAAACGAAAATGAGTCTCTTATGTGGACGTTTACTTGCCATCTTCCAACAACTACCTAGTCGAGTTGTCTAGTCATCATTACGAGTATACAAAAGATAGGGAAGGAACTTACGTTGAAGAGGTTGAAAGTGCATTGTTGACAATACATGGTACTGAACACAATTTGACAGATCTGTAAGCTCTCACGCTATTCCCTAAATAATTACCATGTATTTTAATACGATTGTTTCCTGATTTAACGCCATGGTTGGGATCTATCTATAATAACGAGTAAAACAACATTTTACAGGGGGTGTTGGTATCAATTTTAAACATTTTTTTTTACTAAATACTGTCTCTATATGAGTTTTTTTTTTTTTTTAAAAAATACTTTCAAGGGAATTTTGTTAGTTACATGCGATCTTCAGACAACTGATAACTTATAATAAAGTACGCTTTTGAAAATGAATTTTAGCTTTCTTCTTTCTATGAAGCGATGATGTGGCATAGAGCTAGTAAAGAGCAGCTCTTGTAACCACAACAGCAACAACGTCAATGATAGATTAAAAAATGTCTACCATTCGTTCCGATATAAATCTCACTTACAGAAGTTATTTCTGGTGGACATGTGTTTTCTAAACCTCCAGTATTTCTGTCTGTGGCAAAGCATTGACCCTTAAACCAAACACACATAAACTTGCTATCCTGGACACAAGTACTACAATTCAAGTTTTTTTGACAATAATCCAATGATATCTTCACGACCTATAAAATGAATTAATCACATACAAATATTTTACAATCGATTGGTGGGTGATACTTGGTCCAAAGATGGCGTCTGATTTTGCTATGTAACTTTAAGGAACAGATGCGCCGTTTTTATGACCAATCGTTCTGTAGACTCAGAGACGGGAATTTTTTTTAGCTAAGCCATTCAGTGTTCATACTTGACCGTCGAAATTTTAGCATTCAAATCCATGTGTGACCAGAATTATCCGCGTTTGAATGTTAAAATGGCGAGTCGTCATCTTAAGATATTCTGTGACATAGAAAAGACATATATAGAAATAATGCGTAAAATTCCTGGTTTGAAGTATTCTTAAAGAGATTATGCGATTTTCGAACAAACCATGCCGCGTCTGTCCCTTTAACAAACCTTAGCAAGACATAGTATTGTCTTGATTTCTTTATAGATAATTTGACCTAGAGGACGAAAATATTCTCCTTTCTGGAACACCCGACGACACTATGGCTGGCTTTTTTAGACTCTGGATTCATTCAGTTCATCTAGTCCAAACAGCTTGTTAGTTCATTTCACTCCAATAATCCGATGAATGTTTATATCAATGGACAACATTTTTATACGAGGTGTGTCAAAAGATTAAATACTATATAGTACCTTGTTCTCTGTTATTGTATAAGCTGTCTTGGTTTTTGTATTTATTTCAACATCTGCTAGGAATCCATTCTTCTCATTGGGAATTTCAAACCAATATTTTTCATCCTAAAACATTAATCGGGTTTAACGATTCATTAAATTTTGAGAAAAGACAACCAATATTAATTAATATGGCCAGATTTATTTGTGGTCGCCATGGAGCAGTCATCCACAGATTACTGAGGAAGTTGGTTACACAATGGAGTCAGAAAGAAGGTACAAACACATACAATACAGTCATGTTTAATGAAGAAAAATTATCTGGCCGATGCTTCTTGCACCTGCTTTCAGCTATTAAAAACCATTATTTACCAATTGTATTTTCATTATAGGAGACTGACGAACATTTTCAATATTTTTTTAAGCTTATAGCAAAGCCAAAGACTTTCATCGCTTGAAGTCGCAGTCCAACAAAAATCAAAATTCTGATTTTCCCAACAATATGCTCATTTCAAATTGTAACATGCTTTTTAAATGGTTATTGATACCTTTGTTTTGTAGTAATAATATAGTTGACCAGGGTTCGTTGATATTATAATATGTAACTGACCATCAACAGGAAATGGTATAACTGATGTTATAAGTTGATTCTTTACTACCTTAACTGGATTGAAATCTCTGCCTTCTTCAATTGCTTCAAGTGCATTATTATAGCCTTGCTTACATGAGGAGTTAGTCTGGAAAAGATATTTTGGAATACACATTTCATATGTTTTCTTAACTATTATTGATATACTATCTTGTTATGGCGCAGTGTTTTTTGTGTTCTTTGTGTCATACAATGTACTTTCATTACCTTTTGAGAAAGGAAGAATTTCACATCCTCAAATTCTATACAACTATGGGGAAAGAATATCTATTTTTTTACTACCAATTATAAAGCTTAAAGGGACAGCTGCGCCATAGGTTTGACCAACCGTACCTAGGACTCAGAAACGGAAATATTTTTATTTTTAGCTGAGACAATCAGCTCACCGTCGATATTGGAGTCTTCAAATCCATGTGTCTCCAGAATTATTCTGTATACATGTATATATAAATAATTCCTAGTTGAGTTATCTTTGAAGCGATCACGCGATATTCATGCAGTTGTATTACTCCTGGGGACTATTTACATACATTCAAGACTCAAGTCAACCCCAGAAAATGGCGAACCTGTCCCTGTAATTTCAGCTACTGTCAATTCCTGAGCCGATAATTTTACTGGATACTGGCTTGTTCATATGGGAGAATCTTACCATCCCTTCCTTCGAAACCTAACTCGAACAGTTTCCATGCCTTCATATAAGAATGATAACAATAAAAACAAACTTACCATATCATTATAACCAACTGTTCCGTGTCCTATGACCCATTCAGATGCAGTAACAAAGGTTTCGAGTCCACATTTTGATGAAAGAAAGTTCATGTCTTTTGTAATTTCCTCCATTCTGAACATACATACACTCGATCCGAACTTTTCATCGGGGATATGAGTTCCCTTGTCTCTATTGTAACCAAAACTAACAACAAGGCTTTCATGTGAGGGATGCTCGTACAATTTCCCTGCGATTGCCAAATTATACTTTTTTTCATGTGTTTTACTATTGCCTTCTGATCTTTTCTCTGTACATGAGATAGGGATAGCAGTAAATGGATAAACAGATGTCTCGTTATACCAAATACGAAACAGCCAACTTGAAGTACCATTTTTACCCCTTTTATTAACGAGGAAGTACAATCCATCTTTAAATTGGAATCCGTATACAAAATGCACTTTAACGTCTTTTCTAAACTCGTCCGAAATCCGAAGCTTTCCATTGGATCCAGCTTGCAAATAAGTTAAATGTCCAGAAGCAATCTTTCGGAAGGACAAAAGGTCGATTTGATTTTCAAGTGGTTGAGATATTCCCATGACAAGCTCGCTATGCTTTCTTTGTGATGGAGGTAAAAATAATGCCACAACACTTCCATTTGAACCAACAGTATCACCCTTGTTATTTCGAGAAGTTAACATAGTAAAATTTGATATATTGTTTAAATTATGGTATGTACACGATCCCTTGTCTGAAACTCCACAAACTAGGAGTTTACGAGTTCTATAATCTATTTCTAAGACTCTACTTTTACAAGTTTTACAAATTTTAATCTGATTGAGTTGCTTTAAATTGGAGTTCAGACGAGCTAAATAAAAAGATCCTGCCGCGTATACATTCCCTGTTATATTGTCTACAGCAATCGAAGTCGGTTTAAATGATAGTTTTGTTTCGTTTATTATTAAGCCATTTGTAAATGTAGTCCATTGAGTTTCTACAAGGAATACCAGTAAGAAATGGTGAACCACGTACATTTCGTCAAGTTATAGAGATTTTGATATCTTCCTCTGTCATATTCCTTCTACAAAAACAAAAAGATCTGATTAAAATCTAATCTAATGAATAATACCATTATTATTTATGATCTTAATAATGTTCAAGTCAACTGCAGTTATTACTTACGACAACATAATATCGATAATAATAAACTTATGATTGTTTTATCGTTTTTGCTGCATTGTAGGCGAACCGGACACCTGGTTGTTGTTCCGAAAAAAGTAATATGGATAGCTGGAATTCATGATGAATAAAGAAAGGACATATCTTGACTAAAGATATCTTATTTTTTCTAATGAATTTAGCATGTATTCTTAATCATATCATTCTGTTCTTATTGTATATAATTAAGAGTTTTAACCAAACATAAATGTCCATGTATGTAAAGTCTGGATAAACAAAAGAAGAATGTTGGACCTGTCTTGATCGGTCGCTCATTGTAATTCTGGTGGCAATCCTCTTCTAATTTAGCTAATTATGAATTAATTATAGATATGTGGGACAAACTGGTATTTTCAAGTCATTAGAACACCTTTACTTTCTATTCATATAAGTATTAGCATTTTCATTTTCATAAATGAAAACAAAGGAACCCATCTTTAAGAAGAGTTAAAGTCAAAAAAACATCATTTTCTAACTATTTTCACGCGTTGAGATCCTTGAATGGGGCATTTCCAAAGTGATATATTAAATTGTGAAGTAAAGTACTTGTAATCGTTATTTTCAGCAAAATTTGGGATATTGGACATCCTCTATAAATGTGTACCATTGTTTTTTTTAAAAATAAACCAAAATTCACTCATTTTTTTACATGCAGATGGTTAAATTAACAAAATGAATTATTTTTAGATTAAAAAAAATTTGTGTGTGAAATTCTAGAATTTGATGAAGATTGCATTTGACATGATGTCACGATGTAAGATATTTCTAACAGCCGTCGGAAAAAACAGACTAGTTTAATAAGAATAAGATTCAGTTACTTCCAATATTGAAGCATCCAGGTGTTATGTTATTAATAATACATCTGTTTTCCACAATATTTTATCAGAGGAGCAAACTATTAAACTCAAATACGCTCAAGAGTATATGTGTATTAGGCATAATTACATCTGTGTTCTGAATCAGTTTTTCTATAAATCATTATATGGAAGAGCCGAATAGTTGCCACAGAATTATTGAGGACAGTTGAGCCATTATTTCTACCAATCATACTTTAGTCTGCCAATAAGTAATGGTGTTCACATCACACCGTCAAAATCTGAGCCTTCAAGTCCATATGTGTCCAGAATTATCAGCGTTTGAATGGTCAAATGACGAGTCGTAATTTTATGATATTCTGTTATACATAGAAAAGACATATATAGACTTCTGAAGACTATGTACATATATTCAAGACACAAATCAAGCCCCCCCCCCCCTCCAAAAAAAGGCGCGTGTAGAGGGTAGAGGGCACAAACATCAAACAGATATCTAAGAACTCATTGCTAAGAAATTTGACACTGGGGGACGACCGCCGGCCAGCCAAATTTCCGGGGTGAGATCACATTCCAGAACCTCTTTTCCCTGCTCTCTCAGTTTTAAGTCCTGCTTTTCTGTTACAATTTGACTATATAAAACTAGAAACTCCTTACAATATGCAATAACAATATTTAGCCAGGGCTATGGCATTATCCATTGCTGATACGATTTCTTTATACACGACCTACTATACCAGAAGTTATTTACACTTAATAACTTATAACCTTTCTTAGATTTCATCGTTTGATTTTCTATTGTAATGTGTTGATATAAAAGATATTTGAAAATAGAAAATATAGTGTCAAACTAACCTCAACACATCCCCAGTAAATAACATCCGTGTTATAATGAGATTTGGTTTTCAGTTCAGTTTAAAATGATTACTTCTTTTCGAATGGACATAATATTCAAAATCTCAAACTTAGTAGTAGCCAATAGTAGTATATATTCATCAATGGACTTACCTGGTATCATAACTAGACAACAGAATCCATCTATAGATAGCAAACTTCAATTTTTAATAGAAATTTGCCTTATTAGATGACAAATCGGTAATTCTCGTGGTTTCATTTTTATACAGTACATTGTTACATACAAATTGAAATCATTGATAGTTTCCGGTACAGAAGGATAAGAACCTAGATATTACGATTATTTAAATATTCACCAAGTTAAGAAATACATCTTCATCGAATATAGAAAGCGGCATTGTGTACCAATTTACAGATTACAAATTACTTACAGCATGTCGTAATGCAGTGTCAGAAATATAGATAAACCATACTTTACACCAATATTAACTAAAACACACATTTGGTTAGATCTTGGGAGAAATTCATGTCTTCACGTTAATGGATTTTCACGTCGTTGATGTGTTCTGGTCGATGCTAGTGAAACCTAACTGCTCTAAGATTTAACTGGTCCGCCATTCCATCTAAAGGTATGCTATAAGCGAACACACCAGGGGTGCAGCCGAGGTCCCCAGTATATTTTGACAGTAAGACTGGCACGGGCACACGTTTTCAACCATGACGATAATCACGTGCGGAGCATGCAATTGAAAGGAAAAGGAATCTGTTTGATAATGACCGTCTGTCTTGCAGTTGCAGACTATAAAAATATCGGAGACAATTATCAAACTTGATTGATATTATAAATCCCGTCGGCGACACGATAATCTTGTCGTGGAAGCACGGGCACACGCGAGATTCTACTCAAGATTCGGGTCGGAGACAAAAATCTCTGACCAAGACCGCTCGTGTGCCGCATCTTAAAGGAACGTGATATCTATACAGACTATCACCTTAAATCTTATTGAACATGCTTTCACTAGGCGTGAATAAAATATTGTTCTCAAGTACGCTAAAATATTCCGGTATAACCATAAAGTACTTCCGCCCTTCATGGACTTTAACTAGATCATATTTAACAGGTCCATACCACATATCCTCTATAGTTAAGTGCGTTATTCCTAGCGACCGATCCCGTTAAAAAAGTCCAATTTAGATAGACAGATAGAGCAAACGTTTTTGTTAGATTTTTCCATTCATGAACGTAAAATGTACACAGATCTGATCCCACCCTGAATTAATGTAGTTCTTGTTTATATAGCAGATAATTTATTCCCTTAAGTTTTAAGGACAATAAACAAAGACAAACATTTTTACGAAGCCGTTTTTACATACAAGCATTGTGTAATCATACAAGAACAGTCGAACTTCTTTACTGCGTTATTTGTAGTGCCGTCCACTTTACTTTGGTGGTTCCGATTATCAGTATTTTGTGTACCCGTACTTCAGGATATGTGTTTAACACTCAAATTTCGGCTTTCATTCACGATTTAAAATCAGTCTGGTCATTTAATACTGAATGATGAAAATTGTAAGCGTGTGTATCGATATAACAGTCTACATATGAATCGCTTTGCAGTCGTGACGTTCCCCATATCGTTGTAGTGCAAAAGGGGAGGCCAATGTCTCTTTCCAGTTAAAATTTCCTTCTTGCATACTGCATAATTTCGTGAGCAGAAAAGTAGGACATAAAATTTACTCCATTGATGTGAATAATGGTGGTTGTAAGATATGGCTATAAATACTATAGAATCGTGAAGATAACAAGCCGAGCTAACAGTGGCATGTGTAATTATTTAATGTCAGAAGTCAAAGACTTATCTTTCAGATTATTATTCTACTGCCTTTCATTTGTTTCTAGACTGCAACTAGTCTGAAAAGCTCTAAAACAGGCACATGCGACTAGATGCCATTATAATCAGTCCAAGCCTGAGGATTGCGTCCTAGCTTTTCAGAATTGTGAAAAGTTAAACGATACTCGGACAATCGCTTATTTATGCCCCCCCCCCCTCCCCCCCTCCCCCCCTTCCGCCTGAGAAAGGTTATATTTTGAAGAGAAAACGATTCATCTTAGGTCATTAAGAATCCGTTGAATTGGGGGGATGGGCGGCTCTGGCAGCCCCAAGACCCCCGGCTCACTATGGATAAGCACCTCCAACGCACTCACGCGTTAGACATGTTTCTCTCTAACTTAACGTTTACCACGCTATAATTTACATTAAATGTTAGCACATACTAAAATCGTACAGTTACCTTATAACGGCAACGGCAATGCGTAAAACCTTAACGTGTAAAATACAAATAGCATAAAGTGTTTTAAAGATATCTTCTCGCAACAAGAGATCTCAATGTTATTTCTCATTTAGAAACACTACATTATAACGAAAGTACTTACAATATAACCTTTCTTGTCAACGTTAACGTTGGACGCAGTAACAATTTTGAAATATAATACATGCATGAATACTGAATAAAAGCTTCCTCAGAGTGTTCTAATACTTCTCAGAGAAAAAGAGGCGTAAAATCTAACCTTATAACTAAAAATAATTCCGCTTAGCAACTGATATATTATAATGAATCCTAAGTTTCAATGATGTTCTGATAAACTCTGTTTAACAAAGAAATACACCAATGTTATATTGATAATTAGTCACCATCCGTTATAAATTCTACATATCCTGAGAAGTTTATATTATATCCTCTTTTAACTTCCATCGTGTTCAACACTGTACTGTTGTAATAAGATCCTTTTACTTCCCCGTTCTTGTTTATTTAATCAATGAGAACAAATCGTCCCAAATCTCTCGATGGTCGACAATTTATTAAGTTGAAATATGTTTTCATACCTCTAATTTAAATACTCTAAGAGAATTTGTTTAATTGTTAAGTTCTGTACCAGAAATAGTTTGAGTTCTACACCAGACATCGTCTGTCTGATTTCTTTACCAGACATAGAATTGTACAAGACATAATCTGATTTCGGGGTACCAGTCATGGTTCTGTAGCAGACGTAATCTGAGTTCTGTACCAGACATAGCTGCATCTGTAGCAGACATAGTCTGAGTTGTGTAGCAGACATAGTCTGAGTTCTATAGGCCTACACACTGCATGTGATCTGTGACATAGTTCTGTAGAAGACATCTTTCTGTGGCAAAGAACTGTTCAGAGTTTTGTACTAGGCATAGTTCTGTACAAGACAAAGTTTTGTGAGATGTTTTGTGGACAAGATATAGTTCTGTACCAGACATAGCCCGAGTTCTGTACCAGACATAGTTCTGTACCATAGTCATAGCTTTGTTCCAAGTATACTCCGAGGTCTATACCACACTGGTACTAACAGACATAGTTTGGTACCAGATATCGTTTGAGTTTTGTGCCAGACATCGTCTTGGTTTATCGGAAATCGTCTTGGTTGTGTATCAGATATTGGCCTAGTTACCAGACATAGTTCTGTGAGAGGTTTTCGCCAGCCATCGTTTGTATTAGGTATGGGACATATATGAATGTCAAATTTGATATTTTCGATACTTTTCATTTCACAGGTTTAATAAAAAAAAAAACTTGAATGTGGCCTTCATAATTTTCAGTTTCAATTTCCACATTTGGTTCATCCTTGGTTGAAATCAACATAATTTCAGTTGAAATGACTCACCTTTTCTGATTATATATATTTCAATATATGAAGACTTACCAGTAAAGGTGGACAGACAGATGGATGGACAAATGGATCCACAGATGGGACATTTTTTGTGCCAATTTATAATCCAAGAGTGTTACAGGGTTACCAAAACATGACACATAGCTTTATGATAGTTTGGGGATTTTTTGGATGTTTTGTTTTGTTTCCGGTTTCGTTTTACGGGATTGTTAGTTCATGGTTTATTTAATTGTCTGCTGGGGACCAACTATGTGGAGGTCATCCAACTATGTGGAGCTCTCGTGTTGATGAAAAAGAAGAAGGTGTTTTTTGTTTACATTTTATTCCGCCATAAGTAACTATCTTACCCCTTCACACAATCTTATATTCATTTGCATAGAATCTAATGAATATGCATTAGGCATGTCCAAATAAGGTCTATCACGACAGGGTACTCAAAGAGGATATAGTTTTGTGATGGTTCTTAATCAAATATAGTTTGAAGAGACAAGGTAGGCGTTGGCGATCTCTATTTGACTGTTCTTATATAACTGAGACAATTTTGACGATTTTGAAAATATAACTTTTAATGTAAATTTTGAGGTTAGAACGGATAAAATTTGGGCTTATCAATCTCAAAGTTCTTGTAAAAATCAACTAAAATCCTCAATAGAAATGATTTGAAGTTTTACGTCTTATCTTCTGCACCTGATTCGGCAAATAAAAATTTTGCTAGAAATAAGACTCAAGAATTTTAAAGGTAAGGGATTTTTACGTGTACAGTCTGAAGGACACAGGGCTCCAGTTCATTGTTCCATTGTCACAAAACATATTTTTTTCATTTCAGCCCCTCATACCTACATCATTTACAAGGGGTAACAAAGTTCATCTAGATATTATCTCGATTTAAGCCAGTATCCAACCCTAGATCTTCAGATTAGAGAATTGGCATGTAACTCACTGAACCATTGCTTCATCCACCAACCTTCTCCTATTTATCAATTTTAGGGTATTTGACCACAACTTGACTGTCCTTAACATCAGCTTCTACTCCAAATTCATCTAAAACTACAGCGTTATTGGCCACCCCTTGTAACTGTAAACTGGAGATCACTGCCTTATTTTCTGTGTTATTTTCACATAAATTTCTAATGGCTAGCACCACCCACTGTGTTATATCTATTCTATGGTTAAGGATTAGGGACAGATTTCAAATTATCAAACAACTTTGAAAATATAGCACTTATATTGATGTTATACATCAATTCCATGTAATATAAACATACCCATATATAAATATTCCTATTTTCTTACAAATATGAGGCTCTTTGGGGTTTTTATGACCAGTATTCAGTCAGAAGGTTTGAACTTATATCTTACTATTTTGTTTAACATGTGTAACTGTTTGAACTGAAATAATGAGGAAAGATGACTTATTCAAGGTTACCAGATATTTTGAAAATTTCTATTATATTCAGAATGAAATATTGATGAAATAATTTGGACAATATATTTTGTGAAATTCAATTCCTTATTTTAAAAACAATTTTCAATATTAGCTTCATCTCTACTTATTTATTACACCTTTTAATATAAATATAACATGTAACTTTCACTGCAGATTCAGAAGCTAAGGATACAAGGGTTTTTACCATCCATATTAGACTGGTCCAATAACAATGGTATACCATCAAGCGTTCGAACCTGGAAATATGGATGAGAATTTCAAAAAAAGTTATCATTACCTTCATAGTTATTTTTAATATTGCTTTAACCAAGTGTCATTTTATCTATTGCATACTGTTGAAAGTTTTTGTAACAAATTTTTTTTCAACTACCACAACTTCTAATCCAGACAATGCTAGGTTTTTTCCAAAATCTTGAGCATCAAGTATTTGCTGATCTGCAAATTTGTAACATATAATTTTACCATCAATAAAAGTCAATTTTGACATACTTTTGAAAATTCGAAGGAAATAACTCAACAAGCAAGATAGACCTGATAGAATTTAAAAATTTTGACTCTTCTGACTGTTGCCACTTTTAACATATTTTCAGTGTATCAATATTTGTCGAAGCATATCAAAATATAAACCTTCACACCAAATTTTCTAATCCTGGCCTCTATCGTGTTCACAAGCCAAAATTGTGCACAGAGGGATGGACAGGCGAATGGACAGAAAGAGGGACAGGTGAACGACTTTGCACACCCTTTCTTAATCTGTATACTTACAGTGTCTTGATTATCTCTGTGTTTGATAACCATGTTGGCTATAAGCCTGACAACATCTCTCTTTAATCCATAAACAGGATGGTCTGTATCCACCTGGTTGATTTCAGATAACTTCTCTACAGAACTAAACACACCGCCACCTGCTTTACCAACTTCATCTATTCCTTTTAATAGATCTGAAATAATGGAATAATAAAATACTGTCAAACATCATGAGATAAATCTGTCATCTGATGAAAAGTTTCATCTAAAAAGGCATCCAGATATTTCTGTTCATGAAAATTTTTATTCTTCAAACGTTAAAACTTTGCTGCATCTATTGCTGATTTTGCTGTTTTCCCTGTTGGGGTTCTCTACATGTCTTCAATTGCATGGATACATCGAACAAATGGTGGTTATGGGTTCTAATCTAGGTTAGTGCATGGAAGTCTGATGACCCTGAATAAGCCATCCTCACTCATTATTCCAGTCGTCCCAGTTGTTAATAGGTACTGATAATCTGGGAAAGATCAATGCCAAGAGGTTTGGTGATGGACCACCTAGTAAAAGGATCCTTTGAGGAAGAATTGAACTCACTAATAACCGTAGTTAGTAATTCTGTATTATGCTGTATGGTAGGATACACATCAGGTAAAGAAGATGTAGCTATACCTAATGCTTCTATCATTTTACATAACAACAAACTCTTCTGAAATAAGAAAAAAGACAATTTGATTGGTTAAAAATATTGTAATTATAACAGGACTGTGGTAAAAAACTTGTTAGATTGCTATGGAGACGAAAAGAAAATTTCTATCTGATTTTAATTCGATTGATATACAGAGGACTTCTCACTAACCTGTTGAATTGAGTCTGTATAGTCTGTATTAACTGATAATATTCTGTAACTATTATTTATAATTTCTGAACATAAACACTCAATATTGCTCATATGTACTGGTTCTTTCTTGTTGAGTTCAGTGGCTTTTAGTGCATTTATCATTACTTCAACCAAAAATATCCTAAAAATTTGATGAAATTATGACTAAGATTGGATGGATACATATTCTGTATCAAACATTAAAGCAGGGTATTAGGAAACAGATCACAAAAAAGTGTTACAATATTTGATCATATGTTTCATTGAGGATGAAAAGTAAAAATAAATGAAATGATACACCCAGCCCTGCATTGTCTTTAAAGGGTTATCTTCGCCATTTTGGGGGAGGGTTGATTTGCATATTGAAGTACAAGAAATGTATGTATATCACCAAATTCCTTCCAAAATACCTCAAACTAAAAATTTCTATATTTTTTCTTGTCTACATGAAGATAAAATATATCTTCTATGATCTCAAGAAAAGATGAGTCGTCATTTTAACTTTCAAACGCAGGTAATTCTGGACACACATGGATTTGAAGGTTCAAATTTCGACAGTGAGCTGTGAACAGCATTACTGATAAGCTCAGCTTAAATATTCCCGTTTCTGAGACTAAAGTACGATTGGTCAAACGGATAATGAACCAATCTCTTTGACCAAAGTAAAGAAAGTTCTTACCATTCCTTGTTTTCTAGTTGATGGCTGATGTTCTTAAAATAATCAGGTACTAAGAATATATCTTCTATCACAAATAATCTTTAAAACAGGATATGGGAATGATATTTAACCTAATGAAATCTTTTTCAGTCGGATTAAGATTATTGAGCTAAGTATATGATAATCCAATCCAGTTTATTCTTCCGGGAGGGCAGCGTATTTCAAAGAATTAACCTTGAGTTTTACATCCTACTTTTTTGCTCTAGTATTGATCTAATGAACAGGAACACCGTGCAGTGTACATTGAGAGAAATTCATGTTAAATGGATCTTTAATAGCCTCCATACATGCTATATGTCAAAATTTCTCTAATTAACGAAAACTTACCCCCATTCTATATCTGTCTGAGTTAACTTGTTCAATATACATGTTATTATGATGTAAAACTCTGTACTCTCTGTAGATATTGTGGAATCTAATCTTGTTAAGAGACACGTATGCAAAAACATACAAGAGTAATTTGTTAATGGTACATCTTCCACTTTATTGACCATTACACTGGAAATACAAAATACAGACTTCTAGAGTTTGCACGAGCTTTTTCAAGTGTAAATGTCCAACCTTTGTAATAGGTATCATTACTATTTTTAAGCTTCTGAAAAACCTTACTGAACTTAAATTACACTTAATGATGGGTTTCCTTACATTTTATTGTCAAATTAAGCAAAACTATTTGATTAATTTGTGGTTCAAATGAAATATCATGTATTCTTAACCATATCTTTTTGTTCTTATTGCATATAATGTTTTAACCAATCATAAATGCCCATGTCTGGATAAACAAAAAAAGACTTTTTGACCTTTCTTGACTGGTCATTCATTGGAATTCTGCTGGTAAATCTCTTCTAATTTAGCTAATTATGAATTAATTATGGACATGTGACACAAACTGGTATTTCCAAATCATCAGAACTTCTCTACTTTCTATTGATATAAGTATTAGCATTTTCATTTTCATAAATGAAAATAAGGGAACCTATCTTTAAGTAAGCTTACTGTCGTTAGCAAGGCAGGTCAAGCTTGAGCTTTCCACTGGATTTGTCATCTGATTATTCCTTATTGAGAGTTTACATAGCTAATATTGTTCATTTGCTGTGTCAAATCTTTATAATGGGAATCTGTAATCTGTACTCACCTTATACAAGGTAGAAATTGTCTCCAAACTACAGACTGCGTCTTTATATTACCAACACATAAATTACCCAGAAACTGTACAGCACATCTTAACAATTCAACCACCCCAGTCTTGTTCGGTATCACAGTCAACTCTTGAAAGAGTTTTTGAAGCTCAGTTAATATGTCTGGATGTTCAAATATCAAGTCCTGATTATCATGTGAACCAGCACAAGAATTTCTCAAGGCACGAAAACATCCTAATAAAATTTTCTGGTTTTTCACAAAGTCAATTTCGCAATGATGTCTTTTGGTTATTTCTGATAACTTTGGACATAAGCTTTTGATAGTTGTATCAGCACATTTAAACACATCTTTTCCATGATTCAACCTAAAAAATAATGGGTTCTTAAAACCTAGTGTATTTGAAAAATCAAAAGTGGTTGCCTAGCAAGATACACCCACTTTTCTGATACATTTTCAGTATATCAAGGGCAGTCACCTATCTGTGTCAAATCATAACAAAAATCTAATTTGTGCAAGATATTGTTGATTTAAACAAACATACATTATTTAATAAAATTCTGACATAAACTGTCACCTCTGTCGCGTTAACAAGCCAACAAATTTTGATGCGTTTTTAGTAAGTCAAGGGCAATAACTCAAATTAGGTTCATCGAAAGATCGTCCCTTTCAAACTTCAAAGATCTCATTATTATAATTGATCCCACCAAATTTCCTTTTAATTCGAATGAAGATTCATATAGATTCACACATCGTTTTGATGGCTCAAATTTTTTATTGTCTGAGCATGTTAAAATGTTTATTGAATTTTTTCGATATTTTTGAAGAGAATTGGACTATCAGTCTCAAAATAGTAGCCTACTGTTGCCTTGATAAAAATATAGTCTTTTGTAAGATTACAGTGAAAAGAAACACATTTCTCTCCAAAAGTCACAAAATTTGGCTGAAAATTTGAAGACACAATGTGCTTATGTTTATATTTTCATCAACGACAAGAAATTCTAAGACTATCAGTACTATTTTGAGGTTGATATTCTTTTTTAAAAACATTTTTACTTTGCTCAGACAATAGGTTCTGGTTAGGTAGTAACCCTCACCCCTGAAAGAAGTGTTTTCTGCACATGCTCAAAAAGTCATGTCATAGACTTAGTGTGGTGCCTGAAGTTCATGTCGGCCATGGCAAGAGTGAAAGAGAATATCACCTTCATAAACAGAAGCCTTTTAGGGCTTTCTGATTTGATGGGCTTTCTGATTTGATAGGCTTTAGGCATTGAATGACTTTGTGTTCATAACAATATACTTATTACAGGCTATATACAGTAGGTTCATATACTCTAAACTCAAGACACAACAAAAGTAGAATAGTAAAAATCCCCATTCACAATTTCCTGTGTTAGACCTTCTATTAGTTATGCAACATTCAATTAATCGTATTTAGTAATAGTGTCAGTGAGTCATTTTATCTTGTTCGTAAACTTGTAACATATCGTAATACATTTTGGCAATTTGTCAGACCTTGTATTCTATAAATTTCACATGATACAATACCTAAACGTTTCATCTTGCAGCTTCTTCGTCAAAATACTAAAATTTTCACCAGCATCCGACCAATTCTGACATTCTAGGTTTGATTTTATCTGTGTAAAAATGTCCATGTTGTTATGTTATTTTTAGCTCTTTGTAAACATCCGGTTTTCATAGAGCTAGTTTGTTTTGTTGATCAATTAATTTTCACAAATAAATTTCGAGAAATACCTAAAAAAATCTCTTGAATTCACATTTTAGACCTATTCCACTTCGAATTCAACGACCAATATCTTTGTTGTAGTCAACATAAAAAACTGAAGAGTCGAATCCTCAGTTTCATGGTCAAAGGGAAGCAACCCAATTTAACGAGCCTCACAAGACTACAGACTACACTTATTTCGTCTCATTTCGTTGCTATGTACTACAATTGGAAATGCCTGCAAGTTTGGCCACGAATACAATGTAGAAATCAAGGAACACCTTACCACATCCGATTTTAGGTTTTAAGAGAAGTAAAAGGCCAAATAATCTAGATCTTTCGTTGCATTGCTTGGGTTAACCTTTATCAATAGGCTCAAAACAGACAACTGATAAAGCGTTCAGGTTTAATGTCAAAAATAAAAAGTGTAGTTTTTTGTCCTACTTTTCTGCACCATATAGCCTAGGCTAATGAAGACGGACCACGGCATGTAGGGTGCAACGAGGGAAATTTGCCTGCCCTTTTTCGATTTTCAACTGTCGAGGGATCTTTAATGTTCACTCCCTGTAGCACACGGGGCCTCGTTTTATTGTCCCACCCGAACGAATAGACGTTTTTTTTCCATGACAACCCCTCCTACCTGCATCACTGACAGGGGGAAACCTGGTTAAAAAATCCGAAGGTATTATCTCGACATATTGTCGGGATTGTATGCCTAATAAAGAGCTACGTCTAGTAGCCTACAGAACTATATCTAATACAGAACTATGCCCAATACAAAACTATGCCTAATACAGACCTATGTCTAATACAGAACCATCTCTTCTACAAAACTATGTTTAATACAGAACTATGCCTAATACAAGAACCATCTCTAATACAAAACTATGTCTAATACAAAACCATCTCTAATACAAAACTATGTCTAATAAAGAACTATATCTAGGACAGAACTATGTCTAATACAAAACTATGTCTAATAAAGAACTATATCTAGGATAGAACTATGTCTAATACAAAACCATCTCTAATACAAAACTATGTCTAATAAAGAACCATGTCTAATACAAGACTATGTCTAATACAGAACTATGTCTAATACAAAACCATCTCTAATACAAAACTATGTCTAATAAAGAACTATATCTAGGATAGAACTATGTCTAATACAAAACTATGTCTAATATAGAACTATGTCTAATAGAGAACTATGTCTAATAGAGAACTATGTCTAATACAAGATTATGTCTAATACAGAACTATGTCTAATACAAAACTATGTCTAATATATAACTATATCTAGAACAGAACTATGTCTAATACAAAACTATGTCTAATATAGAACTATGTCTAATACAAGACTATGTCTAATACAGAACTATGTCTAATACAAAACTATGTCTCATACAAAACCATCTCTAATACAAAACTATGTCTAATATAGAACTATCTCTAGTACATGATTGTACCCATTTACCAACAGTATAGACCACTCAGGCATTTGAGAAAATCCGTCCTCGATGATAAAAGAATTCGGATGTGAAACGATCTGATTACAACACGACGGATGTTGAAAGAGGAAGATGTATCATACTTTTGTAATATCTATAATTTACATAAGATACGCCCACTTTGAACATTTCCCGGTTTAAAGGGACAGGGCATCATTTTAAGAGGTTAAGGGGTTGATTTGAGTCTTAAAAATATGTAAATAGTCTTTAGAAGTACTAGAAATTTACAAACATCGCTTAATTCCGTCAAAAATATATTCGCCTTCGGGTATTCTACGACACGCCTTTCTCTTCCTCGGTCATTAATCTGTTTTATTATGGACTTACATGATCCCACGCAAGGACTGTGGACGATAAGGACCGCGCGGATGGACGATAGGTAGGTTAGTAGATGACAAGTTAACGTTCGCTTCCAGCGGATGCTGATATCGCAAACTAGGTAGTTGTTGATAGTCGTGGTAGTTGGTAGTTCGATTGGTTCAAATTGGATGATTCTGTGTATTGTTGGTTTGGTTGTTGATTCTTCGTTAGATCTGGTCGGGGCGACTGACATGGCGATGAAACTCGCCGGCCCTGGATGGTGTGGCGTGAGTTACTCAATCTCCTTCATCTTCCACTCGTTCTGATCATGGTATTTCTTGTTGATTGGTAGTCGTTGGTTTGGTTTGGTTAGACTATCTCTGTTGGAAAACTAGAAGACCTGAAAAAAAGGATGGAGGCAATATACATTCACTTTACAATGTGGGCGTATAAAAATAAATGGTGACTAATTATCAATATAATATTGGTGTATTTAGTTGTTAAACAGAGTTTATCAGAAAATCATTGAAACTTAGGATTCATTATAATATATTAGTTGCTAAGCGGAAATATTTTTAGTTATAAGGTTAGATTTAATTTTTGTTTGTTTGGGAGGTATAAGAACACATTGAGAGAATCTGAATGAAGCTTTGGTTCAATATATTTCCAAAAGAAATGTGTTGCATTGCGTTTCAGATGATGGTAACCGTTGATAAGTTCTAAAGAAAGTAATTTGGTTTCGGGGTAGGGAGGGTTTGATCCTTCAAAATGTAACAGATACTTCATTTATATAATGGAATTAACGGTCAGGAACTGCTGGGGATTTTCTTCTGTTATGATCTGAAATTAGATAAAATATAACCCCAATGGACGGTTATATACTAACAAGGTTATCATTTAAGATCTGTTTTTGTGAATATGAAACAATCATCTTCTGTTTATGGACACGGGGGAATTTCTCTTGTAGGCTCTCATATAGCGCAGCCCCAAGAATTTAGAATTCAACCCTGGGGATACATTTTGACTTTTGACATGCACTGGTATAGTGTTTTTAAATATGAAAATAACGCTATATTATTGTCCTGTTATGATAATATTTCTTTTTAAATAACAGGACAATAATATAGTTTTAATTGGTTTCCCCTTTTTGGGAATTTGTGATATAAGAAAATAACGTTTAGGTGTCGTATCTCCATTTGCCAATAGACATCTTAATAAAGCAATTGATGCCGTTGTACGTTTATATCTAGATTTTAATCAGATGTGTTGTATTTCAGAAAGAGAGATAAGATATATCAGAATCTCTATAACTTGACGAAATGTACGTGGTTCACCATTTCTTACTGGTATTCCTTGTAGGAACTCAATGGACTACATTTACAAATGGCTTAATAATAAACGTAACAAAAATATCATTTAAACCGACTTCGATTGCTGTAGACAATATAACAGGGAATGTATACGCGGCAGGATCTTTTTATTTAGCTCGTCTGAACTCCAATTTAAAGCAACTCAATCAGATTAAAATTTGTAAAACTTGTAAAAGTAGAATCTTAGAAATAGATTATAGAACTCGTAAACTCCTAGTTTGTGGAGTTTCAGACAAGGGATCGTGTACATACCATAATTTAAACAATATATCAAATTTTACTATGTTAACTTCTCAAAATAACAAGGGTGATAGTGTTGGTTCAAATGGAAGTGTTGTGGCACTATTTTTACCCCCATCACAAAGAAAGCATAGCGAGCTTGTCATGGGAATATCTCAACCACTTGAAAATCAGATCGACCTTCTGTCCTTCAGAAAGATTGCTTCTGGACATTTAACTTATTTGCCATCTGGATCCCATGGAAAGCTTCGGATTTCGGACGAGTTTAGAAAAGACGTTAAAGTGCATTTTGTATACGGATTCCAATTTAAAGATGGATTGTACTTCCTCGTTAATAAAAGGGGTAAAAATGGTACTTCAAGTTGGCTGTTTCGTATTTGGTATAACGAGACATCTGTTTATCCATTCACTGCTATCCCTATCTCATGTACAGAGAAAAGATCAGAAGGCAATATTAAAACACCTGAAAAAAAGTATAATTTGGCAATCGCAGGGAAATTGTACGAGCATCCTTCACATGAAAGCCTTGTTGTTAGTTTTGGTTACAATAGAGACAAGGGAACTCATATCCCCGATGAAAAGTTCGGATCGAGTGTATGTATGTTCAGAATGGAGGAAATTACAAAAGACATGAACATTGTTTCATCAAAATGTGGACTCGAAACCTTTGTTACTGCATCTGGATGGATCATAGGACACGGAACAGTTGGTTATAATGATATGGTAAGTTTGTTTTTATTGTTATCATTCTTAAATGACTGCATGAAAAAAAAGCATAACCACTGTTTGTCCGTCATCAGTTCTTATCCGATGAACTTGGTGCATATATTACGTAACTTGATGAGATCTTATCGAAGCTCGAATTGAATAATCTGTCGATGAATGAGTATAAGTTACTGTCCTTGACTGAAATTGAGTTCCATTCGACGGTATAAGATAATAATACGTCTTGGGAGAATGATGTCTTCCTTTCCTCGTAATTGTAAGATAATCTAGAAATTTTTATTATTCAAAATACATCGTATGGCATCAGAAATACAACATGAAATAGTAATCCTTGAAAATTGGATTTTTTTGTGAAAAATTTTAAGGGCGAAAATTGGCCAAATCAGAACATTTTATCAAAATTACGCAAGTTTTCATGTATTTGTCTATGTTCGAAAACTAAGTAAGTAAATCACGTGTACTACTTATGTGGACAAATCGTTAGTAGATTTTAAAATTAATATCTACTTTCCACCAAATTTGCACATAAACATTGAATATCATGAAAGTGAAATTTAGACCAAAACATATCGCCCTTACATAGTACAGTGTATAAAAAAATGATACTACTAATAATAAAAATATATATACAATTGTGTATTCCAAAATATCTTTTCTAGACTAACTCCTCATGTAAGCCAGGCTACAATAATGCACTTGAAGGTATTGAAGAAGGCAGAGATTTCAATCCAGTTAAGGTAGTAAAGAATCAACTTATAACATCAGTTATACCATTTCCTGTTGATGGTCGGTTACATATTATAATATCAACAAACTATGGTCAACTATATTACTACCACAGAACAAGGGTATTATCAACAAGGATTTCTTTTGTTCAAACTTCGCTTCGACAATTTATGGCCAAATTCAACACAGCCTTTTGGGCTATAAATAATATAGAAGATTTTTTATTAATGGACTGCAACTTCAAACGATGGATAATTTTCAAAGAACCCCTTAGAGATAGAAATTCAATGTAATGAACAGGAATTTACGACCCCCTAAGGCCCATCAGCACTTGCTAAACGGAGGAAGGTGGTCGCCCAAAATAGGCCAAGGAAGTCAGAAACATCATCCAGATTACTTAAATTTTACTTGAACTACCACTGTATCCCTATACATCATCAACGGCAATGTTTTTTACCTTCTTTCTGACTCCATTGAGTAACCAACCTCCTCAGTGATCAAGGAGACTGTTCCACGTCAACCACAAGGAAATCTGGTCATTTCAATAAACAATTTATTTTTGAGAGATGTATTGATTGTCTTTTTTCAAAATTTAATGAATCGTTAAACCCGATTAATGTTTTAGGATGAAAAATATTGGTTTCAAATTCCCAATGAGAAGAATATAAGGGGATTCCTAGCAGATGTTGAAATAAATACAAAAACCAAGACAGCTTATACAATAACAGAGAACAAGGTACTGTATAGTATAAAATATTTGTATTGCTAAATCACCACACTTTGTGGCTTCAAAGATTTATATATTAAGGATTGAGGTACGGTGGCTCACATACGACATATTCACTTTTAATTTCACCTAGGTGAAAATTAATTTTGAATTAAAAACTTTTAGGTGAAAATTAGGTGATAATTCCTGTAATTTTGAATTAATAACTTTAATTTTCACCCATTTGACCTATTCTGGACACACGTGAATTTAAAGACTGAAATTTAGACAGTGAGCTGTGTACACTATAACTGATTAGCTCAGCTAAAAAATTCCAATTTCTGAGACTAAAATGTGATTGGTCAAAAAATGGCCTGGCTGTCCTTTTAAATACCATGTTGACAATTCTTGTACATGTGACAGCTTAAAATTTTTAACGAAGTTACTTTATCAGGTTTATTAAGTTTCATAGCAGAGAAATTACCTTTGGACCCAGTTGTATGCCAACCAGAAAACATCGCCAATCGATTGGAAATTATTATTACGTATTTGATTTTTATAGGTCGTGAAGATATCATTGGATTATTGTCAAAAAAACTTGAATTGTAGTGCTTGTGTCCAGGATAGCAAGTTTATGTGTGTTTGGTTTAAGGGTCAATGCTTTGCCACAGACAGAAATACTGGAGGTTTAGAAAATACATGTTTACCAGAAATAACTTCTGTAAGTGAGATTTATATCGGAACGAATGGTAGACATTTTTTAATCTATCATTGACGTTGTTGCTGTTGTGGTTACAAGAGCTGCGCTTTACTAGCTCTATGCCACATCATCGCTTCATAGAAAGAAGAAAGCTAAAATTCATTTTCAAAAGCGTACTTTATTATAAGTTATCAGTTGTCTGAAGATCGCATGTAACTAACAAAATTTCCCTGAAAGTATTTTTTTTTAAAAAGAAGAGACAGTATTTAGTGAAATTTTTCTAAAAAAAATTGATACCAACACCCCCTGTAAAATGTTGTTTTACTCGTTATTATAGATAGATCCCAACCATGGCGTTAAATCGGGAAACAATCTTATTACAATACATGGTAATTATTTAGGGGAAAGCAAGAGAGCTTACAGATCTGTCAAATTGTGTTCAGTACCATGTATTGTCAACAATGCACTTTCAACCTTTAAAGTAAGTTCCTTCCCTATCTTTTGTATACTCGTAATGATGACTAGACAACTCGACTAGGTAGTTGTTGGAAGATGGCAAGTAAACGTCCACATAAGAGACTCATTTTCGTTTGTCTATTCATACTACATGTACATGTATTTTATAGGATAGTCTGTAAGACTGAAAGTGCGTCCAAAGAAGAAAAATGTGCTGTAACAGTTAGTATAAATGATACAGAGAGCAGTCCTTATATGAAAGGTTCGGTGAATAGTGGTAATAATTCCAAGCTACATTTCTATTTCAAGGTATTCTATTTTATTACCAAACCAATCATTTTGGTCGTACCGTTATCCTGTGGTTACCATCCTATGAGACTCTTCAAACTCTTGAAGTGTAGGTTACAAAGACCCTGTACTCTTTCGGCTCCAAAGGTGGAATTGATGGATACTTTGTCTGAAAGTGATCAGCTATTGGCAAAGAAGACAGACTGATCCACATTCATTGCTATTACAAAACGAATGTAAGAACGGGCTGAGAGGTAGTCAAAATAATGGTGGTATGCCCTAATCTTGGTCGGTGCGTGGAAATCTGGTGATCTTAAATGAATCAATATTAGTTATTATTCAGATCGACTCAGCTGTAAATCAGGACTTAGCCCTGAATCAGGTAGAACTAATATTACTATAATTGTGATATATTACAGTCTGCCAGTATAACTAGTTTTAATCCAGAACTTGGTCCAGAATCTGGTGGTACCAACATTACAGTAATAGGAGAGAACCTTGATTTAACTAAAAGAGTTGATATTAAAATCAAAGATTTAAGTTTGCAGTGTCAAATAAGAAGGTAACGTATTTATTTAAGTTTGCTGTTTAAGCAGTATAACAGATATCAAATGGAAATGTAGCTACTTTTTTGAAGCTTCAACGTTAATTTGGTTGCTTTGCTACTTTGGCGGTTATGCTGCATGATTTCAGTATGTGCCTATCCCAAAATATTCTTCCATTTATTGGAAATATTATTATGATTTTCCACCTTTGAATTGATACATAATATTGTATATAACAAGGTGTTGTCTTGCTGTTCTAGTTTAAATGATACAGTTTTACTGTGCACGACCAAACTGTTTAAGCAAAGTCAACAGAACAGAAACACTAATGAATCAATCGGATGTGGTACATTAGCATTGATGATGAAGAATACTGTCTTAGCTGAGACAAATGGAACATTTTGTTTTTGGAAAGACCCACAGATAACAAATGTACATCCTCGGAGAAGCATTAAGAGGTATAATGGACAGATTTCAAGTTTACTCCAGGTAGAAGGACAGTCATTGCCTCAGTGGGTACCTAATAGCAAGGGTTGATTCAGACAGACATGTTGACCCTGAAACAATTATTGGAACGATTCGTGGCCTGACCCACCAAGAGGTTCCAAAAACGGAAAACCATGGAATGTCCGAACCATAAGACCCATGTTTTGGATGAAGGAAAATCGGAATAACCGTTACCTTACTACTTTAAACGATGTTGATTAAAACTTATCATTCTGTCAACTGGTCTGTCTTTAGCTTGAGGTGTCTTGAGACTGTACTAAGGTATCCTGGCAATTGTGCATCTGTTCTCATTCATACGAGTTGCATCCATGTCTATCAATATCATGATCCAAATTATAAATCCATTCTTTAATAAATGGATCTGTTAATTTTTTACAGTGGTGGTTTGGATGTCAATGTTGAAGGAACAAATTTGAATGTAATAGCTAATCCGAGGCTCGTTATAACTTTAGATAATGGTGAGATTGAATCTGAGGCAGAGGTAAGTCTCTTTATAACCTTCCAGTAAGAAGAGTGTGTCAACTTCATAAAAAAAGAAATTGGGAATAAATCCTTTAGTTCAATATTCCATAATAATATCTGTTTTACGAGTTCAAAATTTTTAAACTATTTTTTTAAGGATTGTATAGTAAGATCTTCCACAACGATGATCTGTAAAACACCCAAGCTGACATCAGTCGTTCCCGATGACACATTTATCAGCGGTGATATTTACTTTATAATGGATGGTGTCAGGGAACTTCGGGACTTTGCTAAAACTCATCCTAATTTAAGTCAGATTAAAGTTAATCCGGATCCAGAATTTTCATCTGTTTCCAAGGACGGACTGGTGGATAGCCTAGAAAATGCTCTTAGCATTAAGGTATGAACCCATCGCATCTAAACATAAAATTTGTTTCCTTACAGTTACGAAACTGCTGGGGACTTGTAGGTATTTTTATCCATATGAATAAGTAGGTTCATGTAGGAAATGCGTTCGAATTTGTGATTATTTCCCCTTAACCGGTATGACCAAAATATACCTTGGCAAGGCTTACTGAAGATCGATTGCTGATGATGATAGTCCAGCTGATGGCTGGACAACTGTTCGTGGTATTTTTCTTCAACAAAAGTCGAAGATAAAAGTGAAAAAAGGTCACCAGGACAGCAAGATTAGTAACGAGGGTTAACTTGACATTATTCGAAGTGAATATGTTTCAGGGTACCAATATTAAAGAATCTGAAGTTGATAGTGAAGACATTCAAGTTACTCTCACTAGCAATGCCGGTACAAACATCACATGTCCTGTTATCAAATTGGGCGAGGAAGCAGTATCATGTAGACCAAAACTTACTTCAGCTGTCAATGAGATTCAACTTGTAGTTCGGGTAAGTCCACGTGTTATAGAGTGTGGTGGATTTGCAGTTTGGTTTGCAGGGCGCATAACTTGGTCTTGGCCGCTAAACAGCAATTTAGGAATCAATATTGAAATCATTCAATTAGTGAGGTATTTTCACTCTATAATTTTGTGATAACATCTTGGATTACGGAGCATAAGTTTTGATGTACAAATGAATGGGGCCAAATTCCGCCTATAGTATATGCTATCCCCGGAGCGATTGAAAATTGTCATTTAACTATTATTTTTATTAGGTGAAAGTGGGTAATCGTTACTATAAAGTTGGTAATATATTTGTAAATGCGAAAGGTAAAATACCACCGGGAGTACCAGATTTAACTCAAAACACGAAACAGTATGCTATAATAGTTGGAGTGGTATCTGCTGTGGTAGTCTGTATCATTCTTATAATACTAGTTATTCCTGTTTTATATAATAAATTTCTACAGGTAAGTATAAAATGTAACAAAAAACTGTGTAAAAATTTATTTGCTAGTACGTCTTAAATCAAATGACCCAATTTTATTTTCGTCATGGTAATTGATCTGCAACCCAACCAAACCAGTGTATCTGGTGTATCTTGATAATAACGAAATTATTGTGAATTGGACGAGGGTCCTTAGGAAATAATACACTTTAATATTCGCTTTAGTGGCCATAATGCCCATCAATTTTCGCGTTCGTGGCTACAATACGCATCAATATTCGCGTACGTGGCTAAAATACACACCAAAATTCGTTACGTGGCTAAAATTTGCATGGATATTCGCTACATATCTATAATACGCATCAATATTCGTTACGTGGCTACAATACGCATCAATATTCGCGTACATGACTATAATACGCATCAATATACGCGTACGTGGCAGTGTAACCGAAGAGTATACATGTAAATAACATGGATTTTTAACATAGAAATATTGTTCATTACAATATTTGATATTTAAGAAAATATATTTTGATTCCCTTTTCATTACAGAACTTTAATGTACCACAAAACCAAGGTTTCAACTTCTTAATGAGGAACACGTAAAATGAATAAAATGTACTTCTCTCCCTTTTTGACCTTTCTGGCGTGAATTAAAAGCATTCTATGAGTCTCAAACGGTGCCTTGGTTATTTGCACCTTAAGACTTCATTATCTTTCAAATATGAAAAGATCTGCATCATGACTGGCGTGAAAATCTGCGTCAAGATTGGCGGGAAGTTCTGTTCGCTGTTTTGTATAATTATGTATAATGTACAAATAGGGTGAACAAACTTTCAATGTTATGAAAATATTAATATATTTTGCTACTGAAAATATGATATCCATGTATCACATACACAAGCGACTATATAATTCTTATAACTATCTACTTGTGTTCCCATCGCTGTGTTATATTCGCTGTTTGCTATTATGTATAATTATGTGTTATTATATATAATGATGTATTCTGCCCAAAATAGGGCGAGCAAATTTTCAATGTAATTAAAATTTTAATATATTTTGCTACTGAAATTATGATATCCATGTATCACATACACAAGCGACTATATAATTCTTATAACGATCTACTTGTGTTCCCATCGCTGTGTTATATTCGCTGTTTGCTATTATGTATAATTATGTAGTATTATGTATAATGCTCAAAATACAAAACAACAAATTTTCAATGTATCAAAGATATCCATTTATTTTATATTTTAAATTTTTTGTAAACAATATTTTATTCTTATAAAATGAAAGCGATTAGGGAACAGGTTTTCGCCTATATTACCCCTTTCCCGTTTATAATATACGCACTATATTCCTAACATATGTATCAATTGGTGTTCTCATTATTGTGTTCTATTTGTATAATGTGTAATTATGTGTATTATGTATAATTGTTTGTTGTATGCAGCCCAAAATAGGGCGAACAAATTTCAATGTTATTAACATTTTATTTTATTTTGCTATTTTGATATTTTATACACTGGCGACTATATAATTTTATACTAATTGGTATTCTCACTGTTGAGTTATATTTGCTATTATGTATAATTATATATTATTATGTATAATGCAATATATTATGATGCATGCTGCCCAAAATAGGGCGAAAAAACAACAGTAAACAAATCCTAAACTTAAATCATAGATGATGAGTTTTCAAATTATTGGAGCTTGGAAGAATCAGTAGACTTGTTCGACCTACTTATTTCAAAGTAATAACATGATACACCCCTATTTTTTATTATTATTTTTTAGAAAGGGGGAGGGGGGTTTTATCAATCAAGACTCCATTATCGTAAAATATCAGCCATATTCTCAAAATATCGACTTAAAAGTTTTTACTCTTTACTTCAAAGAAGGAAATCTATTGTAGTTTGTATATTAATTGGCTTAGTTCACTCATAAATTTCACAAGACCTCCTTTCAACACAGTGTGTATAATTGCATAATTGTGATTCGCAAGAAAACAAATCTCCCGTACTGATATTAAAAACTAGTTCAGTATGCATGTGTGATTTTTATAAATACATAGTTAAATATTTGGTTTTGATGTAATACAATTTATGGGTTTTTTGTGTGTTTTATTAAGCCGCCTTTGGGTAGACTGACTACACAGGATATAAAGTTGCCCAAGGTGGCGATGTGTTAAACCACAGGAGATAGTCGTATAATTGTCGAAATATTATTTAAAAAATGTAAATAATATTTTCATTATATAAAAATAGTTTTTATAGCGCACGGTAGGAATATTCCCTCAAAATCTTCGAAATGTAAAAAAAAATTGCCAAAATAAATGCTTTGACTTAAATCAAAATTTAAAAAATGTAAATAATATTTGTAAACAAACTTAAATCAACGAACAATAAATTATGAACGTAAATAATATTTTCATTATGAAAATTCATAGTCTGAAGTGTCTATGATTTTGTACACAAACTTAAAACAACGAATACTAAGTTATGAATTGTAAATAATATTTTTTCATTATGAAAATTCATGAGCTGAAGCGTCTATGATTTTGTAAACAAACTTAAATCAACGAATAATAAATTATGAAATGTAAATAAGATTTCATTATAAAAATTCATAACCTGAAGTGTCTATGATTTTGTAAACAAACTTAAAACAACGAATAATAAGTTATGAAGTGTAAATAATATTTTTTCATTATGAAAATTCATGAGCTGAAGCGTCTATGATTTTGTAAACAAACTTAAATCAACGAATAATAAGTTATGAAATGTAAATAAGATTTTCATTATAAAAATTCATAACCTGAAGTGACTATGATTTTGTAAACAAACTTAAATCAACGAATAATAAGTTATGAATGTAAATAATATTTTCTTTGTAAAAATTCATAACCTGAAGTGTCTATGATTTTGTAAACAAACTTAAAACAAAGAATAATAAGTTATGAATTGTAAATAATATTTTTTTCTAAAAATTCATAACCTGAAGTGTCTATGATTTTGTAAACAAACTTAAATCAACGAATAATTAGTTATGAATGTAAATAATATTTTCTTTGTAAAAATTCATAACCTGAAGTGTCTATGATTTTGTAAACAAACTTAAAACAAAGAATAATTAGTCATGAAAGAACATTCTAGAACTTACTGACTGAATTATATTTTCCGTGTATTTATTTACATTTGCAAATATGCGTGTATTTATTTATTTATATGTAAAAAAAGAGTACAGTAGGAATATACACTAAAAATTTTCTAAATGTAAAGAAAAATTTAGAATAAAACTAATGATTTGACTTAGATCAAAATATCAACCAAATTAAAAAAAAATAATTCGTCTAGATAACAAAAACTAGAAAATTTGAATTTGTATGAATGTAATAAACCAGCATAATTCACAAGAATAACTGATATAGTTATAGTTATATAAAATTGGTAATGCCCAATACACCATCTTAGTCGATCTAACATCCAGTAATGATGATAACAACTTTCATCATACTGTTGCTTTGGACACTACAAAAATGTGCACCACATAAAATGCAAAACTATTTATATGCTTGCCAAGAAAAGGACTTCGTCACATGCATTGAATATTTCCAGATGGACGTGATTCACAGCATCTCATTGAATCTGTCGCAGTCGACCAGAGCTCACGTTAGCGTCATGGTGCCGTGTCCAATGCTTCATACAGTGCAGTTATCGACACAGTAGAACATAAAAGAAGCCAATAGCATACAATCTGTCCGAAACCGTGCCTTGGTTATTTGCACCTTAACACTTAATTATCTTTCAAAATAATATGACAAGATCTGCATCATGACTGGCGGGAAAATCTGCATCATGACTAGCGGGAAAATCTGCATCATGACTGCAGACGCCCTACATAAATGTATAATTGTCGTGCCTGGATACTACCTTTTTACATAGTGTCAAATGTTGCGCCTAATTAATGCAGGTGGGTACAGTCCTAGATTCATATTGCATCAGTCGTTCAGAAAAAAAAATACAAGTCTGTCTGGTCACAAAATACATTTCCCTCCAATATTAATGCACTATAAGACACCGTATATAAAAGAAAGAATGTGTAAGTTTAAAGTAAGAAAAAAATGGTTCTGCTATTCACAAAGTCATTTTGTTGATCCACTCATTGTATCACCTTTATTGGCGAATTCGTTTGATGTTCGACAATTTATTTAGAAGCTAGGTGCGAGAATGTCGAGAACGGCTCACGTTATTGTTAAATTATTGAAAGTTAGAAACACCAAGAGGTGAACATCGTTTGAAGGTTTTGAATTGTTTTGTTATTTAGTAGAATAGAATGAAGGATCTTCGTTTTCTTTTTATGTGTGTTGTAAGCTTACGACCCTATTTTAAGCGGTAATGAAGTTTTTTTTTCAAACGGGCCACCATGCCTAAGAGACGTATGCTAGAGAAGTTACACGGGGATTTTACTTACAATACACCAGGATGTTTTCATGTCTTGCTGTTGGCTTAACATCTCGTGAACTACATACAAAATAATGTTCTTGAATTGTTTTAACAGTAAAGTTTAGATTAAGAAATCTGCAAAAAAAAAAATGGTCTGGGCACCAACGTAAGTTTTTTTTTCTCGAAAATTTTAATGTAGGCCGATGTAAAACTTAATTTCGTAACTGCAGTTCAGCTCTTGTTACCATTACAACATTTTCTAGCCAATCAATCGACCTTCAAAGACCGAGAAGACTTCCTAACTAAATCCATTAAAATATAAACATTCGTCTTTTGCCTAGGATCTTGTATGCAATATGAACAAAGAAAATCATTGTTCTCTATTTCTACTTAGGTATTTTCTAATTTACACGCTAAATGCATTTTTGACTCAATGATGACTACACATGATAGAAATGACGATGGTTTTAGGAGACAGGGCGTTTATTTCTCGATGACAATGTTATACAAACGTGTTCGGAATAAGAAATATTCTCTCAGTAGATTTATCATTAGGTTTCAAATGGGACGGCTAATACATTAACAATAGGCCCAATAATAACAATAAATGCAGCTAAGTTAGTCAGGAATGGCCAATATGACGTGTTTTAATGGAAATAGTTCAAGTAATAACTTACGCTTGCCAATATGACGTGTTTTAATAGATATAGTTCTAGTAATAACTTACGCTTGCCATTATGACGTGTTTTAATAGAAAAAGTTCCACTTATAACTTACACTTGCCAATATGACGTGTTTAAATGGATATAGTTCTAGTAATAACTTACGCTTGCCAATATGACGTGTTTAAATGGAAATAGTTCAAATAATAACTTACACTTGCCAATATGACGTGTTTTAATAGAAATAGTTCTACTAATTACTTATACTTGCCAACATGACGTGTTTTATTGGATATAGTTCTAGTAATAACTTACACTTGCCAATATGACGTGTTTTAATGGAAATAGTTCTAGTAATAACTTACGCTTGCCAAAATGAAGTGTTTTAATAGAAATAGTTCTACTAATAACTTACACTTGCCAATATGACGTGTTTTAATGGATATAGTTCTAGTAATAACTTACGCTTGCCAATATGACGTGTTATAAT